GGACTTCGCAAATGTAAGTGGATTCCGCAAAGTCTAAGCCCATTGGGCAAATCCAAGCAGGTTCCAAAAAATTGCTTAAATCATTATTTTTAAGTGGTTTTTGCAATTTAGAAGCAGGTTTTTGCAAATATAAGTGAATTCCACAAATTTGAAATTAAGCTTCCGATTAGCAAGCGTTATTTTCAAATCGAATATAGAATTGTTTTCGAATTGAGAACATGCTTAAAACAATCACTTGAATCTTGGGTCATGATAAAATCAAACTTCTATGCGTCTCCGGCTTTTAGTCAGGAGGTGAAAATTACGCGTGGATTAGAATCTGAACGAACTGTTTTTTTTTTCAACTGGAAACATTCCATTCCAAAAAATGTTGGTCTAATATTTGTCTGCATATGTTTTGTCGGCTTAGTTGCCACGTTGTAGAACTGAAGTTTTTGCACGCAATTTTCAATGTAATTGCTCTAAGTGTTTTGAATTACTTCTGCATTTTTAATTTTTACTAGCCTTGACTTCGTCTATTTTACTGCTTTTTTTTTCGCTGAAAAACTTTATTCTACTTAAATGTTTTCCACTTATTTTCTATCGGCTTGGCGACTCAAATTGGGGTCATTTAAAGGAAAGCGTACATGTTATGCTTTATTCCGGAACGCTCAAAATGCTCAAAATTTCTTAACTTTTGCCTGCCAACAATTACGTGCTCATTTCTACGGTAAATAATCAAGTTTCGTCGCCTCAGTTGCCGCTTGTTAATTATTTTTTGAATTTTAGTTAATTGATGTTGATTGTGTTTCTGGACATGTTTTCCGCAAAAAAAAACATGAATTCAGAAAGCATTTTGAATTTTTAAAAGTGACTTTGAAGTGATTTTTGAATTTTTTTGAAGTTTTTTTTTATTCAGTGGCTTTCCTTTTCTGCCGTGAAGTGGATTCCATTTACAATTTCTATGGGTTCATCAGAACTTACATTAAAATGAAGTTATATAAGCACATTAGTTTTTTCGCGGGTTCTGCAACACGCGAATATAGCTAATTGTTTCAGGTTCCGCAAATGTGAGCGGATTCTGCTTACTGTAAGTGATTTCCACAAAATTAAGCAAATACCAAAGAATTGTTTTTTTTCTAATGTAACTTTGTTATTGGTGTTTGAAAATTGTAAGCGGATTCTGCAAATGTACGCAAATTCCACAAACACGTTATATTTAATGAAAAGAATCTATATTTGTATGTGTATTTATATATTTTAAATTGTTACGGAATTTTGTTGCGGAAACCTTAAATTCTGCTGTTTTTTAGCAATACAGTGTTTTAGCAATTTGTTCCTTGATTCCAAATCAGCGAAGAATTTCAAAGAATAATAGCACTTTTGCGGATTCCACGACAAAGTTTTTAGCTGTTTGCAAAATCCGGTTAACGTTCACCACATTTTTTCCGTACTATCGAATTGTATGACAAGCATTTTTTCTTGTAACTTTTCTATGTTTGGCCCTAAACTCAAATACCAAAAGTTTTCTGAAATTAGAAAACCAGCAGGTTAAGCGGCATTGAATCGCAGATAACACTAAAAATTGCTTACTGCCAAATCAGATAATAGTTGAATTTCGCACGAAATCATAACAAAAAAATGTTACGGCGGAATCCAGAAAAATGGCAGGAAACGAGAAAACTGAAAATCTGAAAAAGGGGACAGAAAAAGATCCACCAAATCATTGCAGTCATAGTTCAACTTTTTAGCAGTAAAACAAAATCGTCGACGACAAGCAATCGTATCCTTAAAAAAACAGATTCTCGAGCCGATCTGCAGTTTTCAAGTTGACTTTGGATAAAAAAAACAGTGCCTTCCGACTGCGCAAAGGCCGTTTCTAGACAAAAAACGCGTTTTCTGCAGATTATTTTATTCTCAATAAAGATAGGTTTGCTCGCAATTTAGACGGGAGTTTGCGATTATGGCGACAGCGCTGTGAGCATTTCAAACCTTAGTGTGCTGGTTTCAAAAATTCTTCGTTTTTAAATTTTCGTCTATTATCTATCTAATATCAATCTATCGATTATATATTTAAATGCGAGCTTCACTATCTCGCCATGTTCAAGCTTTTTCAACGTTTTTTATTTGCATGTTTTGCAACCCCCAGGGTACTGTGAGGGGTTGCGAATCTTGCCTCCAATTCTCACTTCTCAAATCCTTTAGTTTTCAAAAATTTAGATTTGTAAAATTTCCAAAAAGTTGTTGATCTAAATCCTGTTGCTGGATTTTTTGAGGGCACTCTCAGGGGTTGCAAATCTTGGCTTTGATTATGGCTGCTCAAATCCTAGTAATTTTCGAGATATAACGTTTTTTGTTTTTTTTTCAGAAAACAGATAAAAAAGTTTCACAAAACTTGAAATTACCATATCTGTAGTGAGGCTCTGTCAGGGTACTCTCATAATTTAAGGATTTCGCCGCCAAATATGACTGCTCAATTCCTGGTAGTTTCCGAGATATGACGTTTTTTTATGATTTACTCCGAAATTTTCTAAAAAAACTTATATGTTAAAAAATTCCAAAACTTTGAAGATCTCAATCCTGTTATTGGAATCTGTGAGGGTAATCTCAAGGGATTGTGAATCTTACCTCTTCATGTGGCTGCTCAAATTTTTGTAGTTTTCGAGATTTTACGATTTTTAGGATTTTTTCAAAATTTTTCAGTAAACTTAGGTATAAAAAGTTTCGCAAAACTTGAAATTCTCATCTCTGTAGTGAGGCTCTGTCAGGGTACTCTCAGGAGTTAAGAATTTTGCCTCCAAATAGGACTGCTCAAAATCTTGCAGTTTTCCAGATATGACGTTTTTTGTGATTTTTTTTCAAAAAAATTTCTCATGAAGTTTGAAATTCCTAACCTGTAGTTGGGGGGCTGTACGAGTAATCTCAGGGGTTGCAAATTCGGCCTCCAATTAAGAATGCCCAAATCATTTTTGTTTAAGAGATACGACGATTTTTGAGATTTTTTTGGAAATTTTCATAAATTTCAAATTACAAAATAATTTGTTAAAATGAAATTCCCAACCCTGTAGTTGTGTACCTTCAAAGATTGCGAATATTTCCATCAAAAAAGATTGCTCAAATTCGAGATGTGAATTTTTTTTGGTTTTCAAAAAAAAATCCTCTTTTACGAAACTTAATGTGAAGTTTCTCAAAATTTGAAATTCCCAACGTTGTAATTGGGTACTGTAAGAGTACTCTCAGGAGTTGTTAATCTTGCGCCCAAATGCGACTGCTCAATTGCTCTCAGTTTCCCAGATGTGAAGTTTCTTAATACATTATATACTTAGATTTAAAAAATGGCACAAACTTTTATGGTTTTTTCAAAATTTGAATTAAAAAATCGAATGAAAAATTTTACATTTGAAGTTACTCTCAAGAGTTGCAAGTCTTGCGTCCAAATGCGAATGCGCAAATGCTTTCAGTTTCCAAGGTGTGACGTTTCTTAGTTCATTTTTCACATATATAAAGCTTCACAAAATTTTATGGCTTTTCAAAATTTGCATTAAAAAACTTGAATAAATTCGAAGCACCGGAGGTGCGGTACACACTAGTTTAGAATTTAACGAGAGTAGATTTTAATTTTCAGATTTCCAAGCGAAATAAAAATGTTACCTTTGATCTTGTTTTCTCAAATTAGTTTAACTTTATCAAAATTGTGTCAATCATAAATTGTTCTAGAAATTCAAAAGCTTTAAGGACATCTATTTTTTCTTAAAAATTTGAAAGTTAAGATTTTTCATAAAACTAATTTTTTTCTGTTTACTTGCGTTCATTGACTCTTTTCAACTCTCTTGTCTGTTGACCATGTTCTGATTTTTCTCAAAAAAATTAGCATTTCTTGTCTGGCTGTACTTTTTTGGGAAGGTAGAAAAACAATCAGAAGATATTTTGACTAGATTGGGAAAGCTATTTTGACACACTAATGAGAATGAAGAGAACTTTGTTGTCAGTCGCAGAGGGGATGGGTAGTTAAGTATACATTTGGTCTTTAGAGATTTAGAGATAGGGTTCCATGCAGTAGCATTCGAATAAATGAACTACAAATTTTGCTGCTTTCAATTTGCAGAAAGTAAAAGAAATTCTGAGGAAGACTGTAAGAGCAGCAATGCCAATTTTCAGTTTCTTCAGTTTCGGCCAAAGCAGCATCCAAAACGGTCGATTCAATTGCCCTACTTCTAGCATCAGTTATTACAAACTAAAGAAACTGCTGAGCCGAGTTTGAAATCGTTCGGCTTGGTGCTGTTCGGCGCAGTCGCTCATAATCATCGAGCTGTTCGCTGGTAGTACTGGGAGAAATACACCTTCATCAGGAGCAGAGATGATTGGGTGTCTGCCTGATACTTTTGGCTTCTCGGCGCCGGAATTTGTTTCTGTAGCGTTCGAAGGAGGTCTTGAATCAGAAAAGCCTCCACTTTCTCCTTTTTCTTTTACCCGTTGTTTATGTGGATCAGTCAAACGTCTCTGCAGCTTCTTTTGGTTGCCTTTGATTCTCAAATACTCGAACAGATCGAATCCGAAGTCGACTATTTCCAAGATTGTGAGTACACTGAAACCCAGGTAGAGTCCCAAAAGACCCCCGATGTTGGACAAGATGTTCACTGTCTCATAAACAGGTCTTTCTGTTATAACAGTCGTGGACATGTCTTTCAAGAACACATTCACACTTCCAAAGTTGGACCGGAGCAGGTTGATCGCATTTTGTGAGCCTTCTAGTTTGTCTTTCCAATAATTTTCAATGACACCTAGCAAAAATTCTCGTGAAGTGTCGTGTAACTTGGAAGGTTGCGAGTTTGTGGTTATGAAGCGAGCAATGGACTTGTTGGTCGGCCATTCCAACTGCGATGGGATATTTTTAACCACCCCACCCCCCTACTTTTAGATAGGAAATTTGTCACAAGGTAGAACTTATTCACATGCAAACTTTTGAACTAGCTCTTCATGGGGGGGGGGGGGGGGAGATACTTGTTTATATGTGCCTGTGGGGTAGTTAAAAGGATCCCTGAGAAGTTCTGATGTCGAAAGAGTCAGTCTGGCATTCGTTTGGACATTGGCATTCATCGCTGGGACTGAAACTCTTGTCCATCGTACCAACACATCTGCGCTCTTCTATCATGTCGATTGTACACATAGATCCACTAGTATATCTCAAATCATCTGTGCAGTTGCATCTTTCCAGCTTCTCCCTCAAATTAAAATGTAATCATAATAGAAATCAAAATAATAAAAAAAACTACCAAAAAATTCCTTTTTTTTCGGCAAGCGCTCCCCCCTCAGTATAAGTATTTTTTGCCGCCCAAGGCGCCTGTAGAAAAATTTTAGGGTCTTTCAAAAGTGCATATCTCAAAATAGCACAAAGGGGGACACCTTGGGTTGGCAGTGGGTCGAAACACTGAAAAAGGGCGTCAGGTTACGAGCACGGCGAACCAGCGACATTTCGACTGAGAAGCAGAGACCATAAACTTCACGATCGATCCTCAATTGACATTGATTACACTTGATTGCGTGGCGACAATTGATTGCAAGCAAATAAGTGACAATTAAATACAAATGAATTTAATAAGACTTTTTGTTTGGTAGTTCCGAGTAACATTCCATATAGAATCCCTTACCCGCAAAGCTATGGACGTTTTCTTGTTTTGCATTGCGAAATAAGTTTACTTTGAGCTACTTTCACAATTATTATTTATTGCGTCCATTCTATCATTCGTCGCCTCCGCCTAAGAAACATAGTTTCTAATGCATAAGTTTTTTGCAGGGATGATTTTCGGGCGTTTTCATGGGCTAGTCAGCTGCTCTCTTCAATTTTTTAGATTTCTAAATTACATACCAATCCGTTAAGCAGTTTTAATTAAGTTGATGAAGTTCGTTTGAAGTGCAAATAAAGTGATTTATATGAAGTGAGTATGAAGTGTAAAATAAATGATTAATTTAAAAAGGTAAGTGGTTAGTAAAACTACTTTTGTTCGCACTTGAACTGGCAGTCTTCCTTGTTCTCAAATGATGCCAGCGATCCCTCTCCGTATGACGCACAATCACTGTAAGGTGCTGCAAGTTTCTCCATTTTCATTGGGTGAACACTCACCGAGTGATCAAAACCCGGAGGTAAGTTTAGTTCGTTCGACCAGTCGACAAAACTTGAGTTCTTCCCATCATTGTTGTCCCGATGCGTCACGAACATTTTCAAGCCTGCCGCCATCGTGAACAATCCCAAATAGTCAAACACTTCGAGGTTGAAAATAAAACTGAGCCCGAAGTTACGACCGCTGTTAGTTGTCGGTCGACGAAATTTGAATGTGTAGCACATTCCGTAATCTTGAGAATAAGTGTCTTCAATTTCACTACTCGTCACATAACTTGCCATCCGCTCTGCAACTTAAAACCAAATCCTGAAAAAAATCAGATTAAGTTTAGAGGCCACCTTTAACGCTGAATGATTTGCGCATTACAGTACATTCACAACTGCTGCTGAAAATTTTAATGCAGCTAATTACCAGCTTTGTACAGTGCTGATTTAAATTAACCGGACTAAACGCGTTAAACTTGAAATTTAAAACCCGTTTTTCTCAGATTGGATTAAGTTTAGGTGAAAACTTATGAAGACAAAACTTGCTTAGAATTTCAGCAGAATTATTATGGTGTAATTTGTTGTGCGAAATTCGGGCCCAAAATTTCACCCCAAAAATGGGTCATTTTGGCTTTTCTTAGTTAATCAAAAATTACGCCGAAAATACCCAGTTGCTCACAGATATAATTATATCAAAGTCAGCCCCTTACGTAGCCTAACAAACTTTAACAAGGGTATACTCTCCAAAAAAATTGCAAATCGTTTAAAAATTGTTTTTAAATAAAAAGTTGCTGTTTTATATAGTAAAAACGACCTTTTTTGTCTATCAAACAAAAATAAATTAACTTATACAATTTTTTGGAGAATATACCCTTCTTAAAGTTTGTTAGGCTACGTAAGGGGCTCACTTTGATATAATTATATCTGTGATCGACTTGTCATTTTTGGCGTAATTTTTGATTAACTAAGAAAAGCCCAAATGACCCAATTTTGGGGTGAAATTTTGGGCCCGAATTTCGCACAACAAATTGCACCATAATAATTCTGCTAAAATTTTAAGCAAGTTTTGTCTTCGTAAGTTTTCACCTAAACTTAACCCAATCTGAGAAAAACGTGTTTTAAATTTCGAGTTAAACGCGTTTTGTCCGGTTAATTTAAATCAGCACTGTATTAACGCGTGGGCTGATTTAATCCGGAGCTGAAAAAATCCAATTCACGGCTAGCTAGTTGGTCTTTTGAAGCGTTTGGCTAAAAATCTTTTAATTGGCACTTTACTTGGTGGTGGCGATTGAATAAATCTGACAAAAAAATCTTTTTTGATTGCGAAGTGCATATTAACCTCTGGGCTTGTTTTAATTTTTTTTCCTGTTTCGTCGATAGCTGTTATGCCGGTCCCACTGACCTGTTTTCTTATCAAACGGGAAGCATTCCCTTTCACAAAAAATTGTTGGCTCATTGTTTGTCTGCTTATGTTTTAACGGCTGAGTTGCCACATCGTAAAATTGTTTTTATTATGTACGCAACTCTTATTTTTGTTGTTTTTAGTGTTTTGATTTACCTCTGCTGTTTGCAATTATACTCGCCTTGACTTCCTACATTTTACTTTTTTTGTTTTTTCGCTTTAAGTTGTAACTTGTCCAATTGATTTGGCTGATATTTCATCGGGTCTGTGACCTAACTTTGAGTCGTTTCAAAGCAAACATTTTTTTATGCTCCCCTCTGAAACGCACAAAATTTTCAGATAAAAAAATTGATTTCGCCCTTATTAATTTCGGCTTACTGGACGGGTGACTTATTCATTTAATTTTTTGGTAGATTTTTTATGCACCTTTTAAATTTAATTTCATGAGATCAATAATAGCTCATGGTTTCCTGTTTTTTATACACGCCAACATTTCCTGTAAGAAAAAAGAAAAATTTTGAAAAAAAGCCTTAAATTTTCAGTTTTTTTGGATTTATGATTTTTGATTACACTTACGAGAATGTCTTTATTTTTTGTCTATGAGTGAAAAGTTTTTCGAAAAATTTTTTGAAAAATTTTCCAACAATTGCAATTTTGACTTGGCTTTTTTGCTAACAAAGATGTGTGATAAGTGTTGCACGAGATTTGGGAGTGCGCATTTTTCTGTCCTAAATGATTTTTCTGAAACTTTAGCATATACTTTTGTTTTCTCTAGATTTTTTTTTTCAGTTCCACTTATAGTTTATAGCCAATTAAATCTGTAAAGTGTGAAGAATACTCGGTAGCAAGGTTTTAAGCAACAGTTTTGAGTATATTTAGAAATTTTTGAATCTCAACTTTTTGGCATTTTGTTCGGAACGTTTCGATCTATTGGTTATGTGAACAAAAATGAACCGAGTTCGTGTACCCCGAATCCTTTTCATGTTTAGGCAATTGATGATTTTAACTCTTGCACAAAAAATTTTTGAAAAGTTTCCCAACAAATGCAATTTTGACTTGACTTTTTTGCTAACAAAAATGTGTGGTCAGTGTTGCACGAGATTTGGGAGTGTGCGTTTTTCTTACAAAATGAGGATTTTATCTTTAGCATATATTTTTGTTTTCTTTACAATTTTTTCATTTCCACTTCAGTTTATAGCCAATTAAATCTGTAAATTGTGCAGGATTCTCGGTAGCAAGGTTTTAAGCAACAGTTTTGAGTACATTTAGAAATTTTTGAATCTCAGCTTTTGGCATTTTGTTCGGAACGTTTCCATCTATTGGTTATGTGAAAAAAATGAACCGAGTTTGTGTACCGCAAATCTTTTTCATGTTTAGGCAATTGATTATTTTAACCATTGCACAAAAATGTTTTGAAAAGTTTTCCAATAATTGCAATTTTGACTTTACTTTTTTGCTAACAAAGATGCGTGGTAAGTGTTGCACGAGATTTGGGAGTGTGCGTTTTCTGTCCTAAATGATTTTTTTTTGAAATTCAGCATATGTTTTTGTTTTCTCTAGATTTTTTTTGGTTCCACCTATAGTTTATAGCCAATTAAATCTGTAAAGTGTGCAGAATACTCGGTAGCAAGGTTTTAAGCAACAGTTTTGAGTACATTTAGAAATTTTTGAATCTCAGCTTTTGGCATTTTGTTCGGAACGTTTCCATCTATTGGTTATGTGAACAAAAATGAACCGAGTTTGTGTACCCCAAATCCTTTTCATGTTTAGGCAATTGATTTTTTTAACCCTTGCACAACAATTTTTTGAAAAGTTTTTCAATAATTGCATTTTTGACTTGACTTTTTTGCTAACAAAGATGTGTGGTAAGTGTTGCACGAGATTTGAGAGTGTGCGTTTTCTGTCCTAAATGAGTTTTTTGAAAGTTAAGCATATATCTTTGTTTTCTTTAGATTTTTTTCATTTCCACGTCAGTTTATAGCCAATTAAATCTGTAAAATGTGCAGGATTCTCGGTAGCAAGGTTTTAAGCAACAGTTTTGAGTACGTTTAGAAGTTTTTGAATCTCAGCTTTTTGACATTTTGTTCGGAGCGTTTCCATCTATTGGTTATGTGAAAAAAATGAACCGAGTTTGTGTACCGCAATTTTTTTTCTTGTTTAGGCAATTGGCAATTGATTATTTTGATCATTGCACAAAAATTTTTTGAAAAGTTTTCCATTAATTGCAATTTTGACTTGACTTTTTTGGTAACAAAGATGTGTGGTAAGTGTTGCACGAGATTTGGGAGTGTGCGTTTTTCTTACAAAATGAGTTTATCTTAAGCATAAATTTTTGTTTTCTCTGGATTTTTTTTTTGGTTCCACTTCAGTTTATAGCCAAATAATTCTGTAAAATGTGCAGGATACTCGGTAGCAAGGTTTTAAGCAACAGACAGTTTTAAGTACATTTAGAAATTTTTGATTTTTGAATCTCAGCTTTTTGACATTTTGTTCGGAACGTTTCCATCTCTTGGTTATGTGAAAAAAAATGAACTGAGTTTGTGTACCCCAAATCCGTTTCATGATTAGGCAATAGATTATTTTGACCATTGCCCAAAGTTTTTTTGGAAAGTTTTCCAACAATTGCAATTTTGACTTGACTTTTTTGCTAACAAAGATGTGTGGTGTTACACGAGATTTGAGAGTGTGCGTTTTCTGTCCTAAATGAGTTTTTTGAAAGTTAAGCATATATCTTTGTTTTCTTTAGATTTTTTTTTCATTTCCACTTCAGTTTGAAGCCAATTAAATCTGTAAAATGTGCAGGATTCTCGGTAGCAAGGTTTTAAGCAACAGTTTTGAGTACGTTTAGAAGTTTTTGAATCTCAGCTTTTTGACATTTTGTTCGGAGCGTTTCCATCTATTGGTTATGTGAAAAAAATGAACCGAGTTTGTGTACCGCAAATCCTTTTCATGTTTAGGCAATTGATTTTTTTAACCCTTGCACAACAATTTTTTGAAAAGTTTTTCAATAATTGCAATTTTGACTTGACTTTTTTGCTAACAAAGATGTGTGGTAAGTGTTGCACGAGATTTGAGAGTGTGCGTTTTCTGTCCTAAATGAGTTTTTTGAAAGTTAAGCATATATCTTTGTTTTCTTTAGATTTTTTTTCATTTCCACGTCAGTTTATAGCCAATTAAATCTGTAAAATGTGCAGGATTCTCGGTAGCAAGGTTTTAAGCAACAGTTTTGAGTACGTTTAGAAGTTTTTGAATCTCAGCTTTTTGACATTTTGTTCGGAGCGTTTCCATCTATTGGTTATGTGAAAAAAATGAACCGAGTTTGTGTACCGCAATTTTTTTTCTTGTTTAGGCAATTGGCAATTGATTATTTTGATCATTGCACAAAAATTTTTTGAAAAGTTTTCCATTAATTGCAATTTTGACTTGACTTTTTTGGTAACAAAGATGTGTGGTAAGTGTTGCACGAGATTTGAGAGTGTGCGTTTTTCTTACAAAATGAGTTTTTTATCTTAAGCATAAATTTTTGTTTTCTCTGGATTTTTTTTTTGGTTCCACTTCAGTTTATAGCCAAATAATTCTGTAAAATGTGCAGGATACTCGGTAGCAAGGTTTTAAGCAACAGACAGTTTTAAGTACATTTAGAAATTTTTGATTTTTGAATCTCAGCTTTTTGACATTTTGTTCGGAACGTTTCCATCTCTTGGTTATGTGAAAAAAAATGAACTGAGTTTGTGTACCCCAAATCCGTTTCATGATTAGGCAATAGATTATTTTGACCATTGCCCAAAGTTTTTTTGGAAAGTTTTCCAACAATTGCAATTTTGACTTGACTTTTTTGCTAACAAAGATGTGTGGTGTTACACGAGATTTGAGAGTGTGCGTTTTCTGTCCTAAATGAGTTTTTTGAAAGTTAAGCATAT